AAAACTTCAAGAACACGGCCACACAGCCCAGAAGACCCACACCAGCCATCGTATGCCGGCCTTGAAAGCCTTCGACAATACAAAGAAAGAAAGATTTACCTCTAGTGGCCTTATACAAATTGGTACTTGGTGTGACATATGTTCTATAGATGATCCTGATCTTTGTTCAGTTGATGCCCAAGGGTGTTAAATTTTCTAATGAATTCTAACTCCTGTTTCCTGCTTTTGCAATTTCTTCCCTCATGGATTGTTCCCTGACATAAAAATGGGGATTTAATTGGGGGGGAAAGCTACCACAGATTCTTACTATATTGTCAAGGACAGATGCCCACAGATCCTACCAATTGTAAGGGATTGTTGCTGAGCAGGGATTGTTGCTGTTGAGATACACATATAGTAGGGGGAAAAAATCCTGGTTTAGGTTAGCCACTCTTTGTTGCCATCTACTGGTTATCTCGATTTGTGCTGGTAGTCCTAGGCTGGTGGGCAGCAGTCAGGTGCTGAAGAACAAAACTATCCATGTTATGCAACCTGTCTGGCGTCACCTAAGCATTTAAGTGTGGTGGACAATTCTATGGTACTAGCAATCTATAGATATTAACTTCCATATATGGACATATTGGAAAAGTGTTTCTGGTAGCTCTAGAACTACCCTGCATTTTCCAAAAGCCAACATAGTAGCTAAATTTCTCAGTTCATTTTGAATGATTGCTTTTAGTAAATCTCTTTTGACCAAGAACAAAACTGGAAGACGTTGTCCCATCCCCAATAGCAAAGTAAGATTCCGTTGCCAGTCCAGTTAGCCACTGTACTTGGAATGGATGGTGGTGCCATTTTGTTGTTCAGCTCAGAGAGCAAAAGTCTTGCCTCTTGTTCTGGGCTTGTTTCTTGTCTTCAGCAGCCATCTGATGAAGACAAATTAATCCATTGTAGTTGTTCTGCTGCACACTCCTTGAACTAAGAAAAACTAAATCTGATAAACTATGAGCTCATCTTCATATCCACTTAATCACAGGATGAACATGTCCCAGTAATTGTTTTAATATGGCATGTCCCTGCTTTCTTCACAACTCCAGCCCACAGCTGAGACAGTTTAAACTTGTCTTAGCTGTTCCAGTTTCAGAGCACGATATTTTTTCCCTGTCTTCTTGACAGTTTTTGCCATGGACGTGATCTTGGACACTTCATTGTTGGTGAGGTTGGTGATGTGGTCAGAGACTGGGATCTGCCCAGCTCCTGTTGGCCACTTTAGATGGCTGCAAGCAGAGCCTCCCCACACTGCATTACTATACAGGTTCTCTCTGCTTTTGATGACAAGGGATTTTGTGTGGCCATATCTGTTACTGTTGTTACTTTGAAGGGTGCATTGTTTTTCCTACTCCAATACCACTTTGCCAACTCAAAGCTACTTCAGGGCGCTGTCAGCCATGGTCACCTGCTACCAGCACAACCATCATTGCAATGCTCATCAAGAATGGAGCTTGCTTGTTCCCAGTTGCTCACACCTGCTTCTCTCCACGTCTCTAGTTCATGTCCATGACCTGCTGCCTTTAGTGTTCTTTCAGAAGAAATAGCCCAACTGTAATGGTATGTGGGACTGACCTTGGTAGACAGGGCAACGAGACACAGCCAAGGGAACAGTCAGATAAAAGGCGGCTTAGCCCACAGCAGGAATGTGGATGGGGAAGCAGCTCAGAAGGGATCCTCCCTAATTTTTGGACTGTAAAGAGGATGGAGAAGTACTTTCAGACTTGCAAGATTCTGTTACTGTAACCTTACGATAAAGTAGAATTAGCTCATCTGGTTGTGTTTCCTGTCTGGTCTACCTCATAAGGCTGACATGAACTGACAGGTAACAGGCACAGAGCATTTCTGTACCTACAGCCTGCTAGCCAGGCTGCTTAAAGGTGGCTAAACCAGCCACTCTCAGCACCCACCTCCACTTCCTGTCCCCATGTCACCACATGTTAAGGAACGTGATTGGTAGTTGCTCTTCCCACCAACAAGTGACCTTGGTGAGAGGGAAAACAAAGGGGGAAAACTACCAATCACTTTCCTAAATTTGTAAGGATTGCAACACTTGCCAACCTCTTTACTGAGGCAAAATTAAGATCATCAATAAAGGATATGCAAAACATGCAGGTATCCATTTCTGTTTTACTGGACTGGCTGTCTGGGTCATGTCAGGTTGTTATGAAAGGAAGAGAAG